CCCTCCCCTCCCCACCCCACTCTACCTCGCTAATCACCATCCATCCATTCACCGACCGATCCAGGTCCTCGTGCAAATTCTCTCCAGCTTCTCGACCCGCTCTCTTCTCCCCTGGACATCAGTCTGCCACCGTTTCCATGCCTTGATCCTCCGCATCCTGCACTACCGGCTCCGCATCGCCGCCTCCCTGCCGGAATACAAACTTATCCTCGAATGCTTCCACCCCAGCTCGAAACTCATCGAGCCCCATGTCTTCTGCACGTACATCGGCACGGACGACCTGAGCAGCCAGTTCGATGGGAAGGGCTCGTTGTACGAGAATGTAGACACCGCAGAGCGCCTCGGCCGACTCGGTTCGGTGTATTCGCGGTTTCGCCCGGAGCGAACACCGGAGGATGGTACATCCCCAGCAACGCGATGGGGGTCTTATGGCACTGGTAGGTAGTCCTCCTGGTTTTAGAAGAAGGTTGTGCAGGCATGATGAACTGACCCGTTGGTAGATGAGGAGCTAGATCACGATCCGGACGACAGGACGGTGACGCGTCTCATCAACCTGGAAGAAGTTGAGGACTTCTCCCAGTTGTGCGTGGTGGTCAATGTGGTGAAAGTGATACCGGGAAGCGATCTCTTGCTGAGCGCCCACACGGTCGAGGATGGGGTGGTTCGAGTGTTCCGGAATTGGCTCAAGGAACGGGAAGGATGGGATCGGGACCGGGATCAGACCCATGCCCAGGGCAGTGATCCACCCGACAGGGCTTCTGCAAAAGATCGTGACGATGCGAGTATGCTTTGGGTTGATCCAAGTCGCAATGTCGGGATCAGAGCACGAGTTCGGGGAAGGCGATATCTCGACCAGCAGATGCCGTTGCTGGTCCACCGCGACGAGGAGCAGGGGATTACATATGAGCTGGACATTGAGGGTAGGTCACTTTCGTGGGAGAATTGACGTATTTGCTGACCGGCCTAGAACTACATATTCGGACCACTTGTCTTCTGATGACCGTGGAGAAGTCGCAGGAGGAGCAGAAGAACTATCCGAAAGCCGTGATCTTCACGCGGACAGTATGATTCATGACCACCGAGCTCTGGTTGATAGAGTGGTCGGGATTCTGAGTTGTAGCGCATAGTGTCAGTGCATCGATATGCAGTACTTATCAATACGAACTGCCTGCGTCATGCATGCTAACTTTGCATGTACTGTACTGTACCGAGTAGCGTAGCAGCAAATGAGGCAAGAAAGCCGACCGGCAAAAAGAAACCGCCTGAAGATAAGCGACACGCACTAGTCCGTATGCGGAGATTTTACCTCGGCACGTTTTCAGCCCCCTCGGCGCTGATTGGCCGGTGCCTGTCTGCTAACCGGATAAGCGGTGCCGAAACAGCATGAATTTGAAATCGATTGTGTCAGGTTCCACCCTCAAATATCTGCTGCATTATTCATTTCAATTGGAGTTTCTTGTTTTTCTCAAGCTTTGATCCTCTTGTTGCTTCGACATCACTCAGGCTGACGAGGTGGAAGGATGCTGGTGAACTTTTACGGCCTGATACATCCTTAAGAGACGAACCTCGAGCTAAACCTCTTTTCCGCTGCTCTCGCCACCCTCCGATTTAGCCACGATGGGCACGAGCTCGAAAATCCCGTACTGGCAGCTCGTCTTCGACCAGAAGGTGGTCACGCCAGAGATCGTCGATTACCCCTATGACGGCGCCGGCACGGAGGAGTCGCCCTACGCGGTGACGTGGATCCCCAATGATCCCCGCAATCCGATGAACTTCAAGGACAGGACCAAATGGCTGTACACGGTGCAAGTCTCCTTCGTCACGCTAACGGTGGCCCTTGTCTCCTCGGTGTACTCGGGCGGGATGGGTCAAGTGGTGCAGGAGTTTCAGTGTGAGGAAGAAATCGCCATCCTAGGAATCTCCCTGTTTGTGCTGGGATTCGCCTTTGGGCCCTTGCTGTGGGCGCCCATGAGCGAGGTCTTTGGCCGCCGCAACGTCTTCACCATCACCTTTGCCATCCTGACCGCCTTCAACGCCGGTGCGGCGGGCGCCCAGAACATTCAGACGCTCGTTATCCTGCGGTTCTTCGCGGGCTTCTTCGGCTCCTCCCCCTTCGGCAATTCCGGCGGCACGATTGCGGACATGTTTCCGGCCTCGAAACGCGGCATCGCCATCAGCTTGTTCGCAGCGGCACCGCTGTGCGGCCCGACGATCGGACCCGTGATCGGTGGGTTCCTAGGCGCCGGGGCAGGCTGGCGCTGGGTTGAGGGTTTTATGGCCATCTTCTCGGGAGTGGTGTGGCTGTCGCTCGTCTTCCTGTTGCCGGAGACCTATGCGCCGGTGCTTTTGCGCCAGCGGGCGGCCAAGCTGTCGGAGCTGACCGGGCAGGTCTACCGCAGCAAGCTGGACATCGAGCGCGGGCCGGTGTCGCTGTCGCAGACGCTGAAGACGGCGCTGTCACGGCCGTGGATCCTCCTCTTCAAGGAACCGATCGTCCTCCTGTTCTGCATCTACATGGCCATCATCTACGGGACGCTGTACATGCTCTTCGCCGCCTACCCGATTGTCTTCCAGGAGTCGCGCGGCTGGAGCGAGGGGATCGGCGGCCTCGCCTTCCTCGGAATCCTCGTCGGTATGGTATTCGGGGTCGCCTACACCTTCCCGGACAACATGAAGTATGCGCGGCGCTGCCGCGAGGCCCCCGCGGGGACACGGCTGGCGCCCGAGGTGCGGCTCCCCCCCAGCATCATCGGCGGCATCGCGCTACCGGTGGGCCTGTTCTGGTTCGCCTGGACCAACTACCCGTCCATCCACTGGATGGCCTCGGTCGCGGCGGGCGCTCCCTTCGGCTTCGGCCTGGTGCTGGTGTTTTTGAGTGTCTTCAACTACCTGATCGACGCCTACACCATCTTCGCCGCCTCGGTGCTGGCCGCCAACTCCGCCCTCCGCTCGCTCTTCGGCTTCGCCTTCCCGCTCTTCACCACCTACATGTACGAGAACCTGGGCATCCACTGGGCCTCCTCCATCCCGGCCTTCCTGGCGCTTGCGTGCATTCCGTTCCCGATCGTCTTCTATCTGTATGGCGCGCGCATCCGCAAGCATTGTCCGTACGCGGCGCAGGCGGAAGCGTTCATGCAGAAATTGGCCGCTGCGCAGCAGCAGCAACAGCAGAAGCAGGCGGCTGTTGGTCCCCAGGAGAAGGAGAAGCTGGATGTGGAGAAAGGCAGTCCGGTGGCTGCTGTGGCTGGTGCGGATGATAGTGTGGCGGTCGACAGCGACAGCGACAGTGATAGTGATCGGCTGTCGACGATTCCATCGCGGGCGGCCATCGAGCGGCGGGCGTCGCGGGCGTCGCGGACTTCGCGCAAGTCGACGCGGTCGTTGGCGCGGACGGTCACGTATGAGGAGAATCCGTACGACATCGATCGGGTCAATACTTGTAACTCGATCAGTGGGCGGCCGGGGAAGAATTGAGGACGAAGCGAGACGATCTCTTTGTGATGTCTCTTGGCTGTCTGGACTGAGTCCGCGAGCCGATACAGCACCAATCCACACCATGGGATGGCTGCTCGACAGGATCGACTCTGGAAGTGGAGGGCTGATATTGCTGCCGTTGTATAGGGCCATCTAGGGCTATCTCTTGGCTGGCGGTCTTCACAATCCACCCATCAACCCCTAGCGCAACAGAGTTCACCACACCGAACGAAATGGCGGTTGCTCCCCTACTGCATCTACACTACTTGCATAGCAGGCGTTGCATTATTCGGCCCTCGAGGCTACGGCATATAGATATTTTTGACGTTTGTTGATACCTAGACAAAAGCATAGATAGACTTAATGATAATCGTTACACTTCCGATCTCTCAGTCCCTAGAATCGAGTATGTCGGTCCTGCAAACGTGCAAACATGTTGTGCATCATCACTCAGCCGAAGCATTCTGTTGATATCTGTTAGGCGCCAATTCACCAGAGGAAAGATCTTGTGAATTCAGTGAATGAAGACTCTTTCTACTTCGCAGGCCATGTATAAGAAAGCCTCCTCGATCTGTTCCGGATGGTGCTATAAAGCTTCGCTGGCTCTCTATTCTTCATCTTCTCATCTTCTGATCTTCTCATCTTCTCATTTTCTCATCTTCTCATCTTCTCATCTTCTCATCTTCTCATCTTCTCATCTTCTCGCCTCCTTCTTTCATCCACCAATCCTCGCATCCAACACCACCAACAAAAGCCCACGATGCCTACCTCAAACCGGTCTCCAACCACGCCACCATTCAACATCCTCCTCGTCACCAACAGTGAACCAGACCCAGCGAACCAGACCCTCGCGATCGCGCACGAGTTCCTCGCCCACAGCCACAACCTCCGCGTGCACCTCGCCTCCTTCGCCGAGCTGGCCCCGTCCATCAAGCAACTGAACCACGACCGCACGACCCACCACGAGGCAACCTTCCACAGCCTCCCGGGGCCGTCCAAGCGCGAGGCCTCCGACAAGAACGGGTTCGTCCAGCAGAACGCATTCCACGGCCACAGCAGCTGTGCGGATACCCTCCGAACATACACGCAGCTGCTGCCGCAGTCGCGCATCCCCTGGACGGGGCCCGAGTACGTCACGCTCTACAACCACATCGGGATCATCGTGGCGGATATCTTCCCGCTGGTGATCGTGGTCGACGCGACCCTAGCCCCCGGGGTGGATGTCTGCCGCACTCTGAAGTGGCGGCATGTGCTGGTGGGGTCCGGGTTGGCGCACGAGTCTCTGCCGCCGTCGCCGGGCAGGATGTCAGTGTACGTTCCCTTTCGTTGCGTCTACTCCACCAAGGCCACTGATCAAACTATAGCCTCGGACCCAGATTCCTCTCCCTGAAAAACCTCACCCTAGGCCTCCTCCTCCGCCTGGGAACCAGCCACTCCCCGCACCTCCAGCAGATCCAAACCGCGCGGCGCGCCAGAGGTCTCACCGGCCCCATCCCCATCCCTGACCCCCGGGCCTCCCACCCCCAACCCGGCGACGCGCGTCCGCTCCTCCTCCTCCCGACCCACCGCACCTACGACCCCATCCCAGGTTCGTCTGGAGTCATCCACTGCGGCCCCATCACCCTCCCCCTCCGCCCGATCGGCAAAACCCACCCGGACCTAGCCCTCTGGCTCCGCCAGCGGCCCACCGTGCTCATCACGCTCGGCCCCGAGACCCGCTACCCGGCGCGCGAGCAGATCGCGTTCGCCACGGCCATCGCCGCGGTGCTGGCCGCCCAGCCGCTGGCGCAGGTGCTGTGGCTGATGAAGCCCGAACCGACCCACTCTGGGGTTCACTCCTGCTCGGACGGGCTGATGGAGGCGACGGTTCTCCGACTGAAAGCGACGGTCACCCCGCGCCACCGGCTGCGCATCTACGGCCGGCTGCCGGCGGAGACAACGGCCCTGCTGGCGAGTGGGACTGTGGGGTGTGTGGTGCATCGGGGGGAGGCCCGGGTGTTTGGGGAGGCGGTCAGGTATGTGTTCCCCTAGGTTTCTTCCGTCCTTCTTTGGTCAAAAGTACTGTAGAACGATGGTGGGAGTGTGCTGACGCGTGACAGAGCGGGGATCCCGCAGATCGTGCTCCCGATGGACCTCGCGGACTATGAGTATGCGCAGCGCGTGGAGGATTTGGGGGTTGGGGTTGGGGTTGGGGTTAGGGGAAGGGGAAGGGGGAAGTGGGCCGGCGGTAGGGTTGCCGGGGAGCAGGTGGAGAAGGCGATGCTGCGGGTGCTGGATGGGGAGGCGGGCGAGAACATGCGCGAGAGGGCGGAGGCGCTTGCGATGCGGTTGCTGAGGAAGGATGGGAGGGTTGTGGCGCATGAGCGGATTTTGGAGATGATTGGGTTGAGGAGGATGTCTTGAATTGAGGCTGTCATTCTTGGTTGATGCCCAGGGCCTGAGTACATCTGAGGGACTGCTGGGCCAACTTGAATAAGGATTGTTCTTGGTGCTGGTGTTCAGTTATGCAAGCTGGACTATTGTCAGTTGCTTGTTGTCGTCCAATCTGACGGACCTGTATTTTGACTCAGTGTGTTGTCCATCCTTCTTTGATCATTCAATCCCACCGGGCACTTCGGCTTCAGTGCAGTGCGAAGACCGAATTCCTCTTCAATTGCCAATTGCCCTCATGGCGTTGACGTTGACTTGCTGTAGGGGGGACTAAAGGAGAGAATCGGAGTGACGTCGGCTAAGAATTTACACTCTCGGATACCCGCAAACCGGGCAGATCGACGGGGCGCACTCAAATCTGGCATCCGAGGATGCCCGGTTTGCCGGATCTTCCCCGCAATTTAAATGCCCGCTGCCCCTCATCAACAACAATTCCTGTCATTGCATCTATCTGCATTGCGTCTGCATCTCCCCTTTCCTTTACCTCGCCTCAGCTTAACCCTGAACCAAAATGGCCAACGAACGCATCGCCTGGATCGGCCTGGGTAACATCGGCCGCGTAAGTTCTCTGCCTTGCTGCCTCCCTGCCTCCCTGCCCCTGTGCCCCTCACCTCTTTAAACAAACCCTCTCCCCTCACATCACGTTCCCAAACGGTTCCCCTCCCTCCCTCCCCACCAACACAACTAACAAAAGACCAGGGCATGTCCCGCAACATCGCCACCAAAGGCCCGCAAACCAGCCCGATCACCCTGTACAACCGCACCGCCGCGCGCGCCGAGTCCTTCGCCGCGACGCTGCCCGCCGACCGGGCGAGCGTGGCGACCGGCCTCCCCGCCGCCGTCTCGGCGGCGACCATCATCTTCATCTGCGTCGGCGACGACGCCGCCCTGGACGCGATCATCGACACGCTCACCTCCGCCGCGGACCTCGACCTGAGCGCCAAAATCCTGGTCGACTGCTCCACCGTCCACCCGGACACCTCGCGGCGCGTCGCCGGCACCCTCACCGACCGGGGGGCCCGCTTCGTCGCGTGCCCGGTGTTCGGCGCCCCCGCCGCGGCCGACGCCGGCCAGCTGGTGGTGGTCCCGGCCGGCCCGCCGGGGGCCATCGACCGCATCGCCCCGTTCCTGGAGGGGGTCGTCGCGAAGGCCGTGGTGCCGATGCCCGGCGCGGACGTGGGGCGGGCCACGACGCTCAAGGTCCTGGGCAACACCTTCATCTTGAACACGGTCGAGAGTCTGGCCGAGGGGCTGGTGGCGGCCGAGAAATCCGGGCTCGGGGCCGACGTCTACCAGGAGTTTATCCATCGCATGTTCCCGGGTCCGTTCGCGGCGTACGCCGACCGCATGGTCTCCGGGGATTACTGCCGGCGCGCGGAGCCGCTGTTCGCGGTGGACCTCGCCCGCAAGGATCTGCGGCATGCGGGCAGTCTGGCGGCTGCCGCGGGCATGCGGTTGCGCAGTGTCGAGGTGACGGATGGGTATTTGCAGGAGGTCAAGCGGGAGAAGGGGGAGAAGGGCGATATTGCGGCGGTGTATGGGGCGGTGCGGAAGGAGGCCGGGTTGGGGTTTGACAATTGATTGTTTTTTTTTTTTTTGTATATTGTACTCTTACTGCGGGGCGGTGCGGTGCGGTGCGGGTGCCAGTGCCAGTGGCATTAGGGATAACTCTAACCCAGCGTGAAATTGTTTATCCTAGTACCCTACTGAATTTAGGTAACAATCACAACCAAACATCCTGCCCCGCCCCGCCCACCTCGGGAATCAGCCACGACGTCCGGAAATACTGCTGGAGCACCTTCTGGCTGTACGACTGATCATCGACGCAGTACGCGCCGCCCGTCGGCCCGATGTGCGGACAGTGCACGGCCGGATCGTACTGCACCATGTGCTCGTGCACCTCGCGACACAGCAGGGTATTGCGGCCGAGCTCGTAGTCCTTGCCGAGCGGGATGCTCTGCGTCAGGAACGCGTAGCACGCATCCCGATCGGCGTACTGCTGGTTCGCCCCCGTGCAGTACGCGTCGTGCGTCGCGCAGATCTGGTCCGCCAGCAGCTGCGTCAGATACGCCGTGGCGGCGGCGGTCGTGCCGTTGATCTGCTGCGCCAGCGCCCCGACCAGCGTATCGACCAGAAACCCGAACCACCGGAACGTCGCGTCGTACTGCTCGATCTGGCCCGCGGCGTTCCACATGATCCACGTGTCGATGGTGACCGGGAGCAGCAGGTTGCCGAAGGAGGTCGCGTTGAAGGTTACCACCGTCGTCGCCGAGGCGAGGTTCGTGTTCGCCGCCGCCGTGAATTGCGTGATGCTGTACGCGATCGGCACGCCGACCAGGCTGAGGTGCGTGGGGTCGCTGAAGAGCCCGAACAGGTATTCTGTGTTCAGGGTGGAGCCGTTGAAAACCCGTGTTATGTCGACGCGGCCTTGGATCTTTTGGGGGGGGGGGTGCCAAATGTTAGTCGGGGAATATAGGGGTGGTTTGGGGGTGGGCTGGGGGTAAGGGGTCTGGCGACGTACGTCAGGCGCGAAGAGCGTCGAGTTGATGGCTTTGGTTTGCTCCAGGTTGGCCGGGTAGAGGAAGTTATCCCAGAAGGTCTTTTCCAGGGCCCACAGCTCTTGGATGCTGTATTGCGTGGTGTTCTTGGGTCGGGGGCTAGGGCTGGGGCTGGAGCTGGGGCCGGTGCGGGTGCCCTGCACGCGAGGCGTGAGTAGGGTTGCTGCGGTGAGCAGTGAGGTCCATGGGATGTGCATGGTGGTTGGACTGGTTGGACTGGCTGGGCTAGCCGGGTTGGTTGGATTGGTTAGGGTGCAGCAGCAGCAGCAGCAGCAGCAGCAGCAGCAGAGGAGCTGGACTTATATCCCCAGCCAGCGAGCTGGCTATGGGTATGACAACTTGGCAGGTCATGCAACCCTAAATTGCCCAGTCAGATCCAGCCCTCAGGCAGCCCCCGTCAAGATCTCCATCATATTGCTTCTTTCGCCCGCCGATACGAGCGAACCCACCGCGCGGCGCCCTGTGGCGGAATTGGCTGGGCGGTTCAGCTGACTAGGGGTGCAGTCTGCACCGAGTCAGTGGCGCTCGCAGGTAGAAAAGGAGTTATGAGAGCAATTCTAGCCGAAGGCGACGGAATGTGCTGCGTAGGAGGGGAGGTCCCAAGAATGTTGGAATGAGCGGGCTGGCCTGTACGGTACGAACTTGAGATGGAAGGCCGCCCCTGTCGATCTATTGGGGATTATTGAATATCTGCATACAGAAAGTGAGTTGAAGGGTAGCATCAGCAGGCACATCACATCGCGCAGCCAGCCTCGTATCCCGGTCTAAGACGAGTCATGCGGAGGGCCGATCCTTAGCCTTGGCTTTAGCCCTAAGTGAGGGCCGCGCGGATCGGTGGAATGACGGTCGCGCTGGTTGAAGCTTGTTGGTGCTTATTATTGACCTCTGAGATTGACGGTGTCCAACTGGAATAGAATTGTGTTTGAAGTCCCTCATGCCGTCTGTTACCTTGCAAGAAGAGGGGTTACGACAGAGGTAAACCGACAATTCCTGGATACTCCGCAGCTCCGTCGAACATAGGGCTCGATTGCCTTTTTAGCGTCGGATCGCCGAGATCATCAGACCAGACACATCTGCAGCCACTTACAAACAACCAACGCATCTCATTCGATACACTTAAATGGAAGCAAACAATAAGTACTCAGTATCAGTTCATTGTCTGTAATAATTGATCTGAGGGGTCAAACCGTCTGCTCATCCCAGAGTTGCCCTTATTCATCTCCCCTCGGCAACAAACCCCCCCATCCGTACGGTCCTTACCAAGCTGTGCATGGCGCACCGGGCCGAACGCGGACGATGTCCTGGGCTACGACCAAGATCATTCCACAGAAGTCAGAAGTACCAGGGTCGTCGGACAGGTGATGGGAAAAAAAGGCCACCTCTAAAAAACCCAGAACCAAGGACGAGGAGGGCTGTGGAGAATACTATTACCCCAGCAGCTGGCAGCCGATCAACCGCAGTAGGGTTTTTCCTGGGAGTGTTTACGGGATGTTGGACTTGACCCTTGATGCAGGCGACCCTGCGGCGGTATCCGGTTATGGAGCAGTTGATCCCCCGGATGAGTCCGTTGGGGAGGGTGGCGGTGCCGCAGGAGATGGAGGTGGCTGATACGGCGGTGTTCTTGTGTAGCCCGGCGGCGAGCTTTGTGAATGGGGCCGGGGTGGTGGTGGATGCGGGGTTCAGTTTGGGGGCTGTGAGGAATGGGTTGTAGGGTTGGTTGGGGTGGTTGATTGAGGGGTGCAAAGGTGAGGTATGAGGATATCAATCATGTGATTGGGGCTTGGATTCGGGTGCGTGGGGGTTGACAGTACTCCGTAGGGATGGGACATTTCTTCCGGGGAAGAAGTTGCATTATCCCCTCATATATGTAGTTACTGGACTGAGGGTTGGGAAATATGGAAATAATGTGTTTTGAGAGAGCTACGCGATGCCAGCCATAGCTTCAACCTGCTCTATACATCCCGAGATAGGATTCGGTCAGATAATATACAGCATATACAGTCTATCCCCCCAGTACTAAGCCGCCGCAGCAATCGCCCGCATAAACGCCGGACTCTCATGGCCCTGCACGACCTTGGAAATAGGAATCAGATGCGCCTCCGACCCCTCCGGACTGTCCTGCAGCCAGCGCACATACGACTGGGCCACGCGCAACCACAGCGCCCGCTCCGCGGCACTCGCCTCCAGCCCCTGCCACACCCACAGCCGATCCCCATCGTCGAAGAGGAAGATATCCTTGCCATCCAGATCCGCCTTGTCGATGGAACTGCCCTCCTTGACGAGATCAAACGAAAACGAGCCATCCGCATCGCTCAGCCTGAACAGCTTGCGCGGGGAGCTCGCCGTCCCCGCCCGCGCCCCTTCGCCCTCCTCCTCCTCCTCCTCAGCCGCCGCACGCTTCCGCTTCTCCGCCATCGGCCGCGGCGCACTAAACGAGAGCTGCTCGACCTCGCGCCCGCCCAGCATATCGACGACGACCTTACTGCGGGCCTCGAGCTGCGACAGCACCTCGACATCGACATGCTTCGCCTGCGTCAGATCGTGGACCACCTGCGCCGCCTTCCCCTTCTCCATGGGACTGCAGCTGCGGCCCTGCCACACCCAGATCTTGTCCCCGACATCCAACACGAAGACATCCCGATCGTCCAAGCTCCGCCACGTCGGCTCCACCTCATGCACGATCAACGAGCCCGGCCGCGCCGCCCCGGCATGCTTAAACACGCGCAGCAGCATCATCCCCCCTTTCTCCTCTGCGTCCTCCACATGCCGAAACCCGGACTGCACCCCGCCCCGCCGGATGGACATCCGGGGAAACAACCCCACAAACTCCCCGGACGGATGCGCCTGCACCTCGCGGTGCTGCGTCGCCGCCCCGTGCAGGTACTCGTCCAGCTCGACGGTCTTGTACGCGGCGGTGCCGGCCTCGTCCGGCGAGGTGCGGCTGCCCAGCCAGAAGAAGATGTCGTGGAGCAGAGCGGGCTCTTCTTCGGGATCGGTCTGTTGGGCTTGTGGGGCCCGCGCACTGTGCAGCACGATGTAGCTGTCCCCGTCGTAGAACTCGCCGTACCGGTCCCGCGGCCACGCGACCACTTCGAAGTGCTCGATGCGCCAGATGTACAAGCCGGGGGTTGTGCCGATGGCGCGCCAGGCGGGCTCGGTGGCCGCGCTGTTGTATTTTACTTGGTGGTCCAGCGCGCTGTTGATTAGTTCGACGTTGCTGTCTTTCAGGTCGTATTGGTGGGGGTGGATGAGGCCGGCGTGGGGGGGCATTTTGGCGGTGGGTTTGGGGGATTTGTGTGGTGTTGAGGAGCTGGGAGGTTGTTGTTGTTGTCTGATTTGTGTGGTATATATGGTTTGTGTTATGTGTGGAGGGGTAGTAGGCTGTTGCTGTGTGGTGGACGGTGTAGGTGGAGGGGTTGTTGCTTGAGCCAGGGGGTAAGTTATTTATCGATAGCCGATAAGGCGGGCACGTGATGTGGCGGGGTCCCTCAGGTTCCACTGGGCAGTCTACGGGGCGGTTATTTTTAGGATTGGGTGGATCGCTGTGGCTGAAATGGACGCCCTATTTGTTCGTCCCCAAATAATGGATGGGCGGGATTGGCCCTCCCAGACAAAAGTGATGCGGGCGGCCACGGTCTCAATTCAGGGGCGTAGGTGGCGTACCGACTCAGGGCTAAGTACCGCCCCCGCACTACCAGATTGATTGCCATCTCTCAATCGGGGGATCAACTTTGCGACGCCAGATTATGAGCACAAATCAAAGTAATAGAGGTGTTGTTGTGCTACACTGAGCAAGTGCTGGGCTGATATAGTAGAACTGTGTGGTCGTTGTATTTGCTTGACTGCGTCAGAGTTGCTGTTCCTGGATCTATGTACTGTACATACTACGCAGTAGGATCTTCCACGCCGATTAGACCAGGAAGGTCAGGGGACTCGGGATGGGCATCCGGTACAACTGTGAGTGCCTGCTTCCTGAAAGGTCGAAAGAAGAATTGCGACAGTTGGAATATGGGCTCGCAAGCCTGGAGTTTTACCTCGATTTCGAACACTGGCCACCGAGACTGTAACATACCATGGAAAATGTGGCCTCTGAAATCGATTAAGCGCGTGGTCTAATGGCTTTACACTTGATCAAGAATGAATTAGTGAGAGGCCCACTGCTCAAGCCATACCCGCATCCACTCCTCATTCACAGGGGGTATGCTTCCCAGACGATGAATTACCTCTTGAGTATGACCGGTCTCCAACTCCAGCGGCGGACCCTGAAGCGACTGGTAAAAACCGATCAGCTTCACCCCCGATGAAGCTTGGTTACCGGAATTCGCGGCTCTGGCTGCATGATCCTCGAGCCTCCTCACCCAGTCAGACAAGCTTGTCATTCTGCACTCCCGCTGCAGCTCAGCGATCACGCTCGGTGCAATAGGCCCCCACTTGGCCGGGTGCGGATTGACGAAATGGTAGTAAGACGTCGTCTCCTCAAGTCGACGGGCCACTGGCAGTGGAGAACTGTGGTTACGGAATCGGTCAGCGCGGTGTAGGTCTGCTTCTCCACCCCGAGGTTCTGCGCTGTTAGGTCTGCGGTCAGATGGTGGATCTTTGGAGGTCTGTGGTGTTGCTCTGTGGGTTTACGAAGCCGGTGCTTCCGGTCAGGAGGATGTGTTCGTGGCCATTTTTTCGAGGGGGTGGATGGCTGGTTGCTCTTCTTGGGAGGGATGCGGTATATCTGTCGCCTTGTTAGCGAAGATAGTCTGTTAATGTGAGCGTGCGTACTTGTCCAACATCGCCGACAGTATCTCTATGCGGCCCTGAGAATGGGTACGTTGAGACCCATCGACCTCATCGAATAGCAAGGATGCAAGTTTGTCCGCAGAGGCTGCCGAGTATACGGCGTCTTCGTTGAGGAGACTATTGTCCAACTTGCAGTCTGGCTGACTTTGAATTGCGCGTCGCAAGCTCGTGACCAGAACCTCGACTTGCTGCGACATCATCCCGGCCTCAAAGAAGTCATCTTCGTGGTTTAGGTGATTAGTATCCGTCAAATTTGCGACGAATCTCGCCAGAGAACTAGCGAATGCCTCCTTAGACGAAAAATCAAAGCACATCTCCGTACCGGTGACCGCAGCTGGGGAGCCTTCATACAGGGCATTGATTTCCTCCTGGTAAGCCTGGATCGTCTTCTTCCGCTGCGTGGTTCCCTTACTAGTCCGCCTCTGTGGTGCCTATGTCATTTATGAGATGGACTCGTTCTGCGAGGATCTTCCCTGTCTGGGGCTTGATGCAACCTGTTCAGCGGTCAGTTCGAGTCAGCGCATCAAGAACGTGGATGGAAGGGGGGGGGGCTTGGGGCACGCACCGCCGCCGAACATCAGATATTTACAACGAGCCAGCTCATCAAACAGTTGTGCATCCTCCGCGATATCATCCACCACCGACGGAGGCAGCAGGGCTGCATCGAATGGGCGTAGCTGGAGAATCGCGCGCACCATGTGCCGGCTAACAGGCTTGCCCGGCCCCGGCAGCAACAGAGCGCGCCCCGCGAGCAGCAGAAACCAGCCGAGCCCGAGCCCTGCCACATGGCAGAGCGGAAAGCCCAGGAAGACTGTGGCCGCTTCGGCGACGACTTCCAGTTGGGCCTGTCGTCCCGTGACGCAGGAAACCAAGTGCTGGGCGTCAATTGCGGCGATGGCGCTCTGCGGGATTGTCACGGGCTTGGGCATCCCTGTTGAGCCGGTGGTGTGGAGGATCTGGTTGTGGGATGAGTGGTGAGATACTTTGGGTTCGGGCAGGAGTTCGTACCGCAAAGGCATCGTCTGCGGCGGTCTCCCAGGTGCCATCGTAGGGGTAATCTTTGCCGATGCTCCCGTGGTCGAGACATTCGAGCAGGGACGGTGCAGCGCGCGGGTCCGGATGTGTCCCTCCCGCGCAATGGTCTGGGCAATGTCATGGAAAGGTTCATCGTAGACGAGGAGGGAGCTGTTTACTGCGCGCAGGAGGTGACTATGTACGGCGGCGGTATTCCGGGACGATAGCAGAAGAACCTGCGGTGTTGTCAGAAGATAAGAAAGGTACGGGTCTTTTGCTGCTATCACCTGCCTTCGTCCCGGACTTTACAGCCGCACAAACGATTGCTAAGTGTCTCACATCGCTGGCAGCAAGGTATCTGATAGAGGCTTAGAAGGTGATCGCCGGTGTGGATGTGGAGCTCACCCGATGGTCTGTGAGTGCTCTTCTGTCACTGGTGTGCATTGGTCCAGCCACCTGGCGAGGCTGTTGACGATGTTGGCGAGGTTGCGATATGTCACTTCATGGGTCTCGGTGCTCGAATCCACTGTGACGGCTTGGTACACCGCTGTCTTGGATGGATCGCTTCGAGCGGTTTGGTCGATGTAAGTTCACTGCAAGGCGTTTTCCGTATCGGTCGGCGGAAGACATCTTTGTGGCGCTATACGAATGCGGGAAAGAGACTGCCGGCTCTTAGGGGCACTCGAGAGCTAAATAGTTCGCATACATTGATCAAGTGTATTGAATCTCTTGCGTCTTGAGTGATGTGTGCTATGATCTAAGGATTGGTACCACCAGTGATCAGGATAGAGGACCTGGTGGGAGGAAAGCAGGTAGCAGGTGGTACAGTGACATCATGCGTACAGCGAACTGAAAGTGTCTGGGGTGGCAAGAACGCAAAACAAGATGTAGGCTGGAGGATTTGTAAGGGTGAGCTAATAGTTAGGGTTTCGTAAGGCGGAGGCATCAACCTTAAATCTACGATTCTGAGAGAGGCCGAAAGAGCGAGTCTAGCAGGTATGTAGGCGTAGCCTTAATGAGAAACGAAGGAGCCTGTATTGTATCTCTCCTTCCAGCTATGATATACTCAGCCTCTAAGCTATCCCTACACGCGTGTCAGCCAGTAAAGCAAATGAGTTCCCTAAACAGCCACGAAAATCAACCAAGTCAGGTCTCCGAGCCAACCCCTGGGCTGCTAGATTGTCGAAGAACGGGTTCAATGTCTTGGACAACATATCGCATCGTTCAGATCATCTGAATTGTGTGACACTTCACGCCTCCAGACCTTTGGAAATCATCCCGAATCGTCCATATCAGCTGAATCCGCCAGATCCTCCGAGTCATCCGAATAGTCTGACTCGTCTGAATCTTCCGAGTTGTCTGAATCCTCTGAATCCTCCGAATCCTCCGACTCCTCCGACTCCTCTTCATCGCCGAAAAACTCTGATTCCGTTTCATATGGGATATCCCACTCATCCGAGGCTCCTGCACCGTCTTCCCCAGGCGAATCGTCCACAAGATCCGCGTCCTCCACCCAATCCACGCCTTTTGCGTCTTCCTCGAACATCTTCCTATACCAACCCCGGCTCCGCACCCGACGCTGCGCCTGCCACGCCGCATCGGGCGGCCACCGCGCAGCCCCCAGATCCCTGGTGAAGTCCAACCACCGCTCGTCCCGCAACGGCTTTCCGCACTCTCGTTGCCACTGCGATCGACACAGAGGGCAGCGGTTGACATCCCAGTGTCCATACCTATCGAAGGAAAAGCTCAGCAGAGCATAATGCGGGCACGGAAACAGGGACCACCCGACGCCCCACAGGCGGGGGGATGCCAAGTACCGCGTGTGCGCGATCAGGTTGCGTCGACCGTCGAGGACGAGGACCATGCTGTGGGGGCGGACGTCCCCCTGCCTGCCGGGAGGGATGGTGCAGTTGTGGACGAGGCCGCGAGTGTTGGGCCCGGTCTTGATGACCCGGAAGCGGGGGTCCGCGTCGATGGCGGGATACTGGCGCTTGTCTTGGGGGTGGGACTCATCCTTCGCCAGGTAGCGGGCGATCCGCATCTGGTGGCGCGCGGTGAGGCTGATGCACGGGCAGAGGTCGACGATGCCCGCCTGCGCGGCGCACATGGCGCTGGTCGCGGGCGGGAGAATCGGGGCCCATCGGTGGTGGCAGCTGTAGCCGTCGAATTCGCGCCGCGGATGGAGCTTGAAGCATGCGAAGCAGTAGGCCCAGCGGTCGTCTTGGAGTTGGCGGAGGAGGGCCTTGCGGTAGATCGTGGGCCGATCGTAGCCTCTCTTCTGGTTGTTGTTCACTATGTCGGAGGTGAGTCTGAATTGGGGGCGGAGGTTCCGGATGATGGCGTTGTAGACTTCGTGGTGGTAGAGACCGCGGCATGTTAGGAGGAGACACACTAGGGCTGGAGGGGGGAGGAGCTCCAGGATCATGTCGAATACCTCCCGAGGGAGGCATAGGAGGTGAGTGGTGGTGTTATCGGTGGATTCCATCGCGAGAAGATGGTAGCTTTGGGGAGAGACAAGTATACTGAGAAACTAATGCTTGGCTTCGGAAGTCTTATTTCCTGACACGAAAGAGTATGGGGTAGCAGGTAAATTTGGTCCATCTCGTCACTGCGTGATCATTCCGGGGAACGCCCATCAGCCCTACCTCAGCATGATGATCTAGTCGTCCTCATCATGACGAGCCTCTGGTGCACCGTGACCACGGCCGGCAGCCCGAACCTGCTCGCGATCGACATTCACCACCCAAGAGCCCTCCTACAATACAGCACTTCACTGCTAGGACAAGCCTTATGGCAGGCTGCTATAGTACTCCCGTCGCTCCTTTCCCTTCCCCTTCCCCTTCACCCTTGTCCTCATGATTGCTCTTTCGAATATTTGATCAAGGCTCTCCGACCACCAACCTCACACGTAAATGCCGACATTCACACTGCTCCATCAACCAACGAAACCGCCATTCTCCAAGTCTCCTGCGGGCAGACCGCAGTTACCAGCTCATCTTTCTCTTCCTCCAGCTCGCTCAGCTCCCTCAGCTGACAAGATGCTGCTGATATCATATAGACTGAGTATGGGTAAGGGCCAGGGTCAAACTGTCTGTTTCCTAAAGTAATTCCAATCCATCTACTCCGTAACCCGTGACTAGGTACCTTCAGAGCTAATAAGAACCGTCGGTTGTAGTAGGGTACACCAACTACATATAGAAGGGAACTGGGAACACGCACCCACGCCTTCCGACCCAGCTTGTACTCGTCGCTGCGGCCGCCCCTCCAAGACTAGGGAAATTGGTTTATTGCAAATTGGCGCGAGTAGCTTGCTGTACACAGGTCCAGGCAACTACAAATAACCTTGTAGTAAGAATTTCCGCCGTTGCTGACAATTGAAATTAAACCAGCTCTAGCTTGGTTCCTTGTGCGTTTCCAATCAAGGACATCAGTCGACATCAGTCGACCTCAATACACCCGCAATGCGGCTATCTCTAGATAGTCTGTCCGCCCACCTGATCAGTTCTGCGACCCTCTGTTATCCAGTTGAATCAGCCCAATTGAGTTTAGTATATACCTGATTAATGTCAGATTCAAGATTAACCAATATCAGCCCTCGAGCTATTCTGGAGAGGTTGGAGAGAACTTTGGAGATTTGGAGAACTCCAACTCCGGCCGAAAGCCGGCGCGTCGGTACCTTAATCTACTCTTTCCAGGAATTCCTTTCCCCGGAGCTCAGGTAGGAGACGAGGGTGGGGCGTGGTTATCGCAGATGCGATTTCCTTTGGCGCAGCCATGGGCGAGCTTATCCCCAAGTAGGGGGTGGGGAGGGGGGGTTTCGCTGATTATGAGCTTTGTGCTGTAGCCTGAGATGTATGTCTGCACGGTTCCCTGCAGTTCGAGCAGGCGAGACTGACTGCTGCAAGGTCAAGAAGACGTCCAGGGGGTCGCTACTTATCGTCGCACGTGAGCTCTTCCTTCATCTACAATTGCTTTACGATACTCATGTTCTGCTACGCAGCTGTCAATGGCAGTGGGCTTGATTTGATCGAGCTGATCGTCTACGGCATCTAGACCCAGACATAATCGTTGGGCATTCGACAGACACTAGGCAGGTGATTGTCTTTGTCATACATCAAGAGGTCAAGCATCAAATGAAGGAATACTTTTTGGGGAACATTGTTGAGGCTTTAGAGCGATGAATGGTCGGCCCATTCGCTTCCGGCCAGTCATCAAGATTCCGACAGGCCTATCTCTTATTAGATATTCGTAGAATCAACAATTGCTGATCAAGGTCTCTGAAGTCGGTAGCCTACTGCTGAGATGGATTGTAGGAGAGGCAGCTATTACCCATCGCAGTACTTCGATAGGGTGATTGGTAAGAGATAATGCACATCAAGGGTTAATTGATGAAGACGAAGCATTCACAATTTTAATATCTAACTTATCTGTCTGCTCTTCGTTGCAAGATAAGTGAATATGTGCTATGGGAATTCACGGGGTGTTGGGTTGGAGTCTCCAATCCTCCGCCCTCTCTCCAACTTCAGCAGCCAAACACCGCGTGGGGCGTGGGCTTGCCCTCTTCAACACTGCCTCAGGACAGAGATAGAGCATGCTCCTCAGGGATGGGCGTGCCCATCTAGCCGGATGATTCACCGGTATCGGTTGATATCTAGCCTCTACCACTCAATCATAGACAGAGTGCTACGAATTGGGTTTCAGCGTCTTATCACTCTCAGACAAGAGTATACTTCGAGGTTGCGGCTGGTATACACCATGGATTGAAATCAGTATAAAGACTGCTCTACTGCACTCGTTCTCGTCAACCTCACACACCTCTCACACCCCTCCGTCTGACAATAATGCTTCTGGCATCTGTCGCTACCCTCCTGGCCACCGCCGTCGTCACGGCTCAGGCCGCCGCTGTCACACCCCTTGCCTCGGACTCGCGTATGAAGCGTGACCCTGCGACTGGCTTTGAGTGGGATCCTGAGAATTTCAAGGTTGCTGCCGTCCGCAAGCCCCCGGTTGGATTTGTCTATCACGCCCTTTCCGACCAATCGACCTGGTGGAACTACGATCTCAACGCCATCATCACTCAGTCAGTTGAGATGATCCACCAAGCCGCGGCTGAGGGCACCAAGTTCATCGCCTTCCCGGAGCTCTACTTCCCTGGGTATGTCTCATCCTGCACATATAGAGCTCACAGCTGAACCCCCCGGACGACCTCCAGCTACCCTGCCTTCCGCACTCCCAACGGCCCCAAAGACTTTGAGCAGTATGTGTCGCAGACCATGGAGCCCGACGGCCCGGAATGGAACACGCTCATGCAGGCCTTTGCCGACACCAAGATGTACGAGGTGGTGGGTTGGGCCCAGAGGGCCAATGCATCGCTGTTCATGACCCAGAGTCTAGTTGGTCCCTTCGCCAACGGCTCGGCCGGAACGATCTGGAAGCATGAGAAGTTCCGGCCCTCGGGCACAGAGCGCTCCCTCTATTCCGATGGACTCCTCAACACGATCCGCGCGCAAAAGCTCCCCTTCGGGACCGTCTCCATGCTCCAATGCTGGGAGGTACGTTCTTGAATCCGGTGATTGGCATCAAAGCTTCCAAGACTGACAACTGCCGTAACAGCACGTGTATCCCGAGTCGCACTTCATCGGATCTGCCCAGCCCGCCAACCTTCACGTTGCCTCCTTCCCGTGCGTATCTTCTTCGACTAAGCTATAAGAACACCGACTAATCCCCACAGATTCGGCAACGATGTCCCCGAAACCGACGGCGGAGACACCCCCTACGCGTACTGGCGTGCCGCAGCGATCGGATACCAAGCCGGCGCGGCCGGTTCGCCCGCCATGATTCTGCCCACCGCAGGGGCCGCAACCATTTTCGGCCATGAGGGCTCTCCCCTCAACGAGTCGCTGTCCAACGCGAAGGAGTCGACCGACGCCATGCCCTACATCACCGCCGTCTACAACACGACCGCGCTGTGGAAGGATGTCGCGTACAGCGTCAACGACTGGTACAGCTACGGCGCCCTCAAGCACATCATCGAGGGTCTGCCCGACGGAATGCCGCGTCGGAGCGGGCCCTTCTTTGGCCGGATCCTGTTTACCATCACGCAGTTCACCAGGGGGTACATCTGGCCTCCGACCCTGTCCTGCACCCCGACGTCGAAGTGGCCGTGTATCAAGATCTGGCCGGAGCGCGTCGAGGAGGATTTTATGGCTTGATGTGGGTCAATGGACGAGAAATTATTGGGGAAATAAGGTAGAGTAGTAGTAGTTGTTGTTGTTGTCAATGGTGATATGATTATTGCGCATAAGTATCATATAGCCTGAGCGGTGGGTGTTCAAATTGATTGAAGAGCAATGTATCGAGCTGTGAGGAGATATAAGACTAGCTTCTCCCGCATTGGTGGCATACGCGTCTAGCCGACCCTTCCCACTATACTCCGTAGTCTGCGAGAAAATAACCTCAGATAAGCGCGTTGTTGCACAACGACTTCCTGTGGATTCGGATCTGAGAAGTGGCAAGACACCCCTCTAACTGCTGGTGGGGTAGCATGAGCTTGACTGAATTAAAGCATCGAATTCGTAATCGATGATGCTGCAGGGATGTTCGGGGTGGCAAACTCCACCCGATTCGGTACCATCTCCGCTGAACCGGAACAATGGCGGGGAAGTTAACAAAGGATCTCGCTTGGTACAGTCCAGATGAACTATTACAGAGGTTTATTTTTGCGCGTTCCGTGGGAACGTGAGTCCTGCACCTAACCCAACTCCTGTTACGGGCCAGTCGAGAGCCAGCAACCGATTTATTCCCGTGAAACAGAATAGCCGGGGGAGGCAGTGCAGCGAGACATCACAGTTCTTGCTCCAGGGGATAATTCATAAGAAGTCGAGTCTCCGCGACTAGGACTAGAATCGTGCAGTAAATCTTCTTTATCTGAGGAACACTAGCAACCGATGACTCGGATATGGAGTATCCTGAATCCCTCGATCTCAACAAACTCAACCCCATCAGCCCGCAGGACCTGCACTCTGCCGATGGTATGAAAACTAGCCACACCGAGCACAAGACCCAGACCTCGAACTAACCATACCTCAGGCACCGATCCCGCCCGTCCGACCCTATTTGCCATCAAGGGGATAGTCTTCGACGTGAGCCGGAATCCCGCTTTCGCGCCCGGGGGTTGTTATCACGGTACGTGCCATTTCCATTACATGCCAAGGTGCGCTAAATGCTCATCTGAGATTGACCTTGAACGGCGAAAATACAGAATATGCGGGAAAGGACCCCTCGCGTGCACTGGCTCGTTCATCCTTCCACACGTCGTCTTGTGCAGCTGAGTTCCACCATCTTGGGGAGCAAGAGCAGACGATTCTTAATGAGTGGTTTGAGTTCTATAGGAAGCGATACAGGATTGTGGGGAAAGTGTCATGTGACAGCCAGGGCGATCAGTCTTGCTGCGAGAGTCTGATTCGAGATGATAATATATTTTGAGTGCTCCGAATCATTCAATCTTGTTCCAATGTAAATCATTCTCTCAGCCGAAAACGACGCCGAACACAGCACCCGAAGCCCTAGTCGAAGCCAGTAGAGCCATGACCCCCAATAGCACGGGACAGGCTGGTACATTCTGTGAATAGCAATTCCTCGCGTATGTTTTGCGGAGTTCTAACCCGGCGTCCAATACCAACAGACATTAGCCGCCAGAGCGAGGGGGAGACTGAGATTCCGTGAAGAGCTATGGCCATGAGTAATAAATCTTCGGTACCGTAGTGAGCTCTACAAGGTTCTACTGCCCTAACTTTCCATAAATCCGACCTGTTGCCGTCACGGCGGGTTGCCGATTCCGATTCCTCCTCTCGATATTTGGCGTCATACTACTTAAGCAGCTGCCAACAAGTCTATGTGCACTGTGGATTGTATGTATTGTAGCTTGTACACTCTGGCATTGAATCAAAGCTGCATTTTGCTCAATAAACACCCTGGAGCTGACACACATCCAATGTATGGCAGGCTGTGAAGCCTTGCAGCAGAGCAATCTGGTGTGTGTACATCGCGCCTAAGATAGCGAGATGGAAGATCTGGTGCGAGCTTCCCCAAATATCGAACCCTTCAGGCGCCAAGCCTTCTGGAATCCGGGACTATACGACTTTGTCAGAATTGCTTTTTCTCTTGGGGTAGAAAGTAGAGGGGGCGTGCAGACATACCGCATAAAGACTGACTCCAATGCCATAGAGCCTCAGCTCGAGTAGATACCATCGCATTCCCGAGTATTGCAGCATTTATCCGAGCCCGTGTCGTTGGACTCCATGGAGCAAAGGTAGAAATGATGAAGCGCCGAAGATAACGAAAGCGCCCACCTTCACTTTCCGCCAGCGCGTTGTTTTGAGCAGAGGATTCGAGATTAGGACACCGGTGACAAATCCGGTGACTAGGACCTAGAGTTTGCGTCAGGGCACGGCTGCATTCCACCGGACTGTCAAGAGGGATGGGCTGTGTGGAGGAGCGCGCCATGGGGGAGACTCACAATAGCCCAGTGCAATTTCTGCAAGTTCGCTTCGCAGAAGCAGACATGGTAGATGCCGGACGAAAATGTGCCCACCGTCACAACAACAAACCCAAGCAGATCCATTCCATGCCAGAAATATTCTATTCTACGCGAGTGGGGCTGCATCAGGTGGTAGAGCGCGCTGAGGGACCAAACAGATTTCCGCACACCAGAAGTAGATCCCAAACATAGCGTACTCCATAAACGACACACCGAGAAATTGAGGCTGTGCCAGTTTTCGCCCAAAGGTAGTCGCAACGAGTGGTAGGAGCAGAGCCCCAATCAGATGACTATAGACATTGCAAGACTCATCGTGCAAAAAGGTCAGGCTGGTGAAGATCTCACGATAGTCTGCTTTCGCGGGCCGGTACTCCGTAGCCACCAAGGATATATTGGTTGTGGAGCTGCCATCCGGAGATCTCCTGCCACGTAACGGTTCGTGCTTTGACCTTGGGCTGGTTCGTGTAATCGATCCCGGTGTCCATATTGACTTTCGGCACTTGCCGTCTTTTGAGTTCTGCCCCTGACATAATATTCTCCCCCAAATATTTGAGGACAAAGACGCGGAGAGTGATAGGGTGAAGAATAACAAAAGAGCTCAGTTCTTGCCGAGAGAAAGAGTGGAGAAGCAGAGAGACGCCACCAAGGGAATTGTCATGTAACAGTGGGCTTAGCTCAACCTAGAATCAGGCGATAGTCGAGGAATACCAGCGCAAAGGTATAGTAGCTTGGATTTATATATTCAGACCTCGGAGGCGATGGAACTGATTGTAAGCGGGAATTGACAATCGCAACGATTGGCTCCGTACAAAAGTCCCGATTACCGGGTCAGGATGGCACGCATGTAGAGTACAGCAGAGCTGGTATACGGTACCGTGGATGGCTACCTAGCCTTACCGCTGCCGCTCCAAATTGAAAGGAGGGCGCTCCTACGCAGTACAACGGCAAGGCTTCGCTTATCTCCCGGTAGAAACGGCAGGGCTAGCATCCGTAGGATGACGGATAAATACACGCCTGTGGCCACTCAACGAGCAGACCAATGGCCATGGCGCTGTGGCGTCAGTGAGGAGACAAAGGATCGGATTCCTAGCAAAGTCTCAAAATGACCTAGGAACCACCTATAGACTGCTAGTTGATTCAAGCTCCGGGTCCACTTATTTGAGCCATTGCTATCAGCTGCTCTTTGTTATTCGCATGCTAGCCGCCTAGTGAGTCAGGGCTTGTCACAGCTGAGGTCCGTAGTCTACTGCTGTCCATCACATTGGGTCACCGTCGATTGTGGCCCACTCCAACGGCGCAGAAACGAGGTAGGAGGTAAACAAAACGATCAAGCTTACCCCACTCTCGAGCCGAAGGATACACCGTCTTCTTTAGGATATTGGCTGGAGACTGGGCTTTTTGATACCCCCGGAATAAACATAGCCACTTCAGCTGTTTCCCGGTCCTGCGTCCAAGATTTGAGGGCTGAAAGACGCGCCGAACTGAGGGGGTAATCCAATCCCCGCTACTGTAACTTACAGTATAGTACAGGTCCATACAGTTACCACAGCACTCTCCGCTTGGTCTTCTGAAGGGGGTCATCCCGGATACTTCCGCGCTGAGATCCGCTTTTTGTCACTCGCGATCCCATAGGCAATTGTACGCGTCGATATGGGAAAAGAAATGGTCTGCCGTAGTGTAGTCTTTTCTGGCTACCACCTGCCCAGATCATTATTGTCAGAAGGCGAGGGTTGTGAACAACCGGCCGGTCAGTCAAACTCGGAAATTGATCTTTTTTAACTAGCAGGCTAGCACAGGCCCGAGGCCAGAAATTGCAGGCTTTCATAATACATAGCTAAGACGCCTAGTTCCTGCCTTTCAATCCTGACATATTATAGCCGATTTGAGTCCCGGTCAAATCTCTCAACCCGTTTGTGCTGGTTTTGAATGATGGACGAAAACGATTCTCGAGGTCTTTTGAAGTATGTGCTTGGGTTTTTCGCTAGAAAACGACCGGAGAGGTCTGCGCAGCCCGCGTCGTTGAGATCGCGCACACGCGAAGCCTGGCTTCGGACGGATGCATATCTGCAGCATGATGCCGACGACTTGGACGAGGTTGATCCTGAACGTCTTGCAAAGGTCTTGCGTGTATGTGAAGACTATTTTCAGTACGACTCTGCCCGAGAACCAGACTTTGTAAGCGCTCTTCATATACAACAAGCTTCAGTCTTCCAGCCCCTCACTTTTTGCTTGTTAACACGAAGTGATGCACCACCGCCTACAGCATGATGTGCCGTATCCGAAGCTTCAGATGATGCGCAGCGTGATCGAGCGTCCGAGTCGAAACTCGCATTCCAGCCCTGAAATCTCCATTCGCCCTGGTAAACGAAGAAGAGAAAGTGAAGCTGTCATTCAAGAACTGGCAGATTTGTCCAGTGACGCTAAGAGACGCCGGGTGCTACCTCGGGAAAAGCCAGCCACATGCGATGACCCCGAAGACCCAAATGCGGACTTCGCCGTGCTAATGAGAAGACGTTTATTATCCTTGAACAATGCGTTACGAAGGGATTGGATCTGTGTTTGCCACAAGTGCTCTGGACTAAGCGTTCGACTTTCGCTGCCACGACAAAAGAAGGATCTGAAGGTCGAGTCGTGCTTCGAAGTGTTCTTCGGCGTACGGTCTCTTCTTGCGGTAGAGTTGCAAGAAGCCAGAATAACTGTCAAGTAAGCTTCTGAAGCATTCATTGACAATGTTCTTGACTAACGAACTCGCGGCAGAGACATGCATCATAACAGGATGAGGAGCACATCTGAGCCTCTAACTTGCGACGCCTCCGATTGTGCCCACATATGTCAAAGCATTACAGAGTCTCTTGGCCAAGCAAATTGCTTGAATTTTGCTCTTGAAGATGGAAGGTTTCAGAGGCTTCGTCCGCAGCCGAAGACCTTTGGTGGTGATCGCACGTCTGGAACAGTTTCCTTGTCGGCATTATTCAAGCGTCAGCAGGAACTATGCGGTGGCTCATCTGCATTGCCATTCAAGGGTAAGCGGATTTTGGCCGTAACTCTGGCTACCGCGCTTCTTCCATTTCTGGAGACACCGTGGCTGCAGCCTTCCTTCAATCACTCAAAGATTCTGTTCTTTGAGCCACTGCAGAGTGGAGAATTACCAGATATTACGAAACCTTTCCTCGCCATGGAGCACATCCCAATCCATTCAAACCGCAGTGAAAATACTGGCGTCGGTTCGGAGAACTCTAAACACAGGGTACACCCCAATGCCAGTGTGCTAGCGCTTGGTATACTCTTGTGCGAGCTTCATTATTGCACACCCGTGGACCTGATGCAGAAGGACTCGTCCACCACCAGAAATGTCAATACTGACTATTATACCAGTCTTGAAAAGCTTAAATCTTTGGAAGCTGATGCTAGCGTTGATTACTATCTTGCTACCAAGGCATGCCTGCAGTGGGAGTACTTACCCCCTGGACAGCAGGCTGACTTTGAATCGGTCAGCGTACAGCGCCTATTTTACCAAAATGTTGTCAAGCGGCTTGAGGCTGAGATACTCAATGGGTGGAAACTTCGATTGGAGGACCTGGGCTCATTTGAGTCTCAAGAGAATAGGCTCCGCTGGGGCTCCATCGGCTGCGAGGTTGTGCGCCATCGAACAGACAAGGCGGACTCACATGATAAAAGTATCGGTGCCCAGGCAATTCCGGATCGTTCTAATTCTGACGTCACGCCCGCGGGTTACACATCGTTCACCTCAGATATGGCTCTACATATGGCGACACAGCCTCCTTTGAAAACGCAACTAAGCGGACATCTGGCGGAGCCGCCAGCGAAGAGCTTGTGTTTCTTTGATGCAAGCTACCAGGCGAGTTGTGAAGAAGAGTGAGCTTTCTTTTCGATGGTCATGATGCTTTGTGGTTCTAATAGACAGACAGGAGTCAACTTTCGCAACAATGGATGGACAACCTTCTGTCTTCCATTCATCGCTTTGTTGACCCTTACGAATCGGTCGAAGCCGGACCCAGAGCCTTCGAACCGGTGCGGATAGCGATCCTAGATTCCGGGTTCGATCCTGAAAATCCACTTCTAATGATCGAAAATGGACAACTAGATCCACGAATCAAGGCCGCGCGAAGCTTCATCGCTGATACAAAACCAGAAGACATCCGAGACGAGATCGGGCATGGCACTCATGCTCTTGGACTTCTGCTCAAAGTTGCCACGTGTGCTGAGATCTATATCGCCAGAATCGCGCATCGAGAGACACTCGATCGTAGCACCTACGGCGACATTGCAGAGGTAGGATTGGCCCTATGGCAGAGCAGAATTTCGATTCGAGCTAAATCTCTCTTCAGGCTATCAATTTTGCAGTTTCCGAATGGAAAGTGGACATCATCTCGATGTCATTCGGGATTCGTGAACACAGCCAGCCAATAAAAGCAGCCATAGCCAATGCTATACACTGTCAGACATTGTTATTTTCGGCGGCATCGAATGATGGAGCGAACCTTGGCAGGGCCTATCCAGCTCAAGATCCCAGCGTCTTTTGTATTCACTCAACTGATGGACATGGTAATCCTTCCATGTTCAACCCGACCGCAGACGACAAAGACGTCAACTTCAGTCTACTTGGGGAGTGCGTCTCCTCTCATTGGCCAGTTGGCAAAGATGGCCGCGGTCAAACTGTCAAGGTCCTGTCAGGTACATCGGTCGCAACCCCTATAGCCGCTGGGCTGGCAGCATCGGTTCTGTCCTTTGTCCGACAGCAAGACCAACATATCAAACCAGGCAGTGAGCCACTGGGGCCGTGGCTAAAGGATTTTGGCTCAATGGATGCGGTTCTGAGGAGTATGGTCAGGCATACAAGAGGAGCAGGCTATCACTACCTCACGCCCCATGTAATGTTTGATAGAGAGTCGACAAGGAAGCATGTCTATGAAAAGATTGAGGACATCAAGAAACACATGTATAGCTAGGAAGCTAGGTACTGACAATGCCGTCAAAGTAGAACTGTTCACTCTTCATTGGGGTGTCGAACAAATTGTAGTACATTTAAGCGGGGACGCAATAGACATTGCCATTCTCGGTCACATCCGGAACGGCTTGAGCTGTCCTAATCTGTGACCCGTCTATATCCTCGACCAGAACAAATGCGTTATCGTCTTGTTCTCCACCAACGGCCAAGAATGCGCCCTTGTTGTACTCTTCCACCTTTAGTCTGCGCCCGAATCTGAGCCTGTTCACGCGGAACGCAAACACAAATTCCATTTCACGCTTGAGTTCTGTCCCATCCTCATTCCTGCTGACCCAGTGGCCCTTTGGGCCGATGGACGTACCCAGTGCAGTCACGTCAAAACCAACGTTTCCTCGGACTGTTGCACTCTGCGAAGTGGAGTATTTGATCCTGGCGCCTTGCACGAGTTTCATGCCGGTGACGAGATAGAGCGAGACAACAGGAGCGAATCTCTGTTTGGGCTCCCGCAGCCACGTCTGCACGGCAGGTGCTTGGATAGCCTCTTCAACGTACTCTTGCGTGGGCTCAAATGATAGAGTCGTTACCCGGTCGAATGCAAAAACCTCCGCCCTTTTTCTGGAAGTCTCAACGCTCACCTCAGGCCCAAGAGGCGATCCCCCAGTAGCCAGCTGCAGGAACTGTGCATAAACACCGCACCCGAGTCCTTGCTCGGTGGAGATGGTCTTCCTCCAGTCGGTTTCCACGACTGGCGGTAATGGCGCGGTCACGGCAACAGATCCCCCTCTATTCAGAGGGCAATGCGGTGTCGACGTGGAGCGGAGTATAGATCCAAGACATAGCGGACCCACTGGCGGCGGATGGAGAAAATCCGATGTCGGACATAGAAAATAAGTCTTTGGAAAAGACATGACTTTCAGATGTTTGGCAATGCCGGAGAATATACTCCTCGCTGTCGAGAAGGGTTGGAGTCAGTGACTAGGTCAGGCAAGAGTGAGACCGAGGTTGATCCCACGCCATCGCGGTTCATGCTACCCCTTTTACTTGTTGCCTTCACTTAGTCGGTCATTTCAACCCCTCCCTCACTCTTCCAATCCATCGACTAACCAATAGCAATAGGTGTATGAATTAGTTAGTCGTTGTGAGTCTAGAAACCTGCACTCTATGCTTACTAGTCGGTACGCTTCTAGCTGGTCATGTTATGGTCACATCACGGAGCACTTACTGTCACATAAGTAATTTTGGCCGCCTTCTTGGTAAGCCAATTATGAATTTGGTACTTTTGGCATTTCTGGTACAGTACAAGATTGGCCTAAACGACTTCGGGGCTGTACCAGCGGATGTACTGTACAGTACCAACACTATTGTACTGTACCTTTGCATTGTGACGCAACTTGGAATTAATTCCGGGCCAAATTCATTGATTACCGTACAACTCAGCAAAAACCAACACATATGGCGGTGTCTCACCATCTGACACTCCTCGGATTCATGCGACATTTTTGTACACCTTGGTCGCAATTGCTTGCCCACCCACCAACAACTTTTAGGATAGTCTATTTTCGAATAGACCGGATCAGCTGCCTTGTTCTCGCAACCCGCTGGGACCGCATCCATCGGCCATGGAGGTGCTAGATCGTGGGAAAGATGAGATGATGGAAGATATCTTCCTCCAAGATGATCTTCACCCGACCATCGCAGAGCACGCAACAAAGTGCAACTCGCTATTCCACCAGTATATAGTATTGCCAGACATTGTGCCGGATCCTACTATCATGGATGATCAGCTGGCGCGATTTACCCTGTGGGCAGCAAACATGGACGTGTTTGGACCGCTCAATGTTTCGCTGGACTACAGGCTTCGATTCAGTCCCACGATCGTGGAGATCATACATCAGCTCCTAGGCCTTATTTGTGATACGATGGTGTCTTGCAAGTACCCGCCGCGCTCGGTCACCGAGAAACGAAACGTCGAAGAGTCTATGCTAACGAGACCTTCTTCATAAAAGTGAAGCCGATTCAGAACCCACCGCAGACTCCGAGCAGGAAAAGACAGCGTGTGTCAGGACACCGTGACTCGGAAGTCTGGAGGAGGAGACCCGAGGATGACGCAAGTGACTCGGACAGCGATGGAGATCCAGCAGAAGAGAACATCTCAAAAATCACCGATATCATTGGCGGAACAGTCACACGGCTCTTTCGTCTATCCAATGCTGTTCGAAAATCCGCGAAAGCCGACCGGGCGCGTAGGATCGAAAGATACAGAGATGATGAACAAGCAAACCAGGCAATCGCTGAATTGCGTCTCTACACAGATTGCTATATCCGGTTTCGTTTTCCAATGGCACCGGGTTCCCTTCGCACAGCATTGATCGAAGCCAATGCGATGCGCCTACGACGATTGTATTACCAGCGAACCCATCGAAGGCGCATCGGCTTGAGTTTGCAGCATCCACGAGCTGCCCCAACTGTTGTTCAACTGCCGAAGATAAACGGAAGTGCTCCAACTGTACGTTTTGATTCGAGCATGCTCCCAAAGCCTGCGACGAATCAAACAATATTGGGAGCAGCAAGCCCGCCCCCTGTGCCCATAACCAATGCAACTACTGCTCGACAATCTGCTGTTAGAGCCCTCTACGCCAAATCTACGACTGAGGTACCTCGAGCCAAGTCTGTTCTAGTGAATAACAATCTGTCGTTTCCACCATTACCGCCGACCGATGAGTGTCCATACTGTGGCGTCATTCTTGAATTCAAGAGCAGAGCGAAGCCAATGCTGTGGCAGTAAGCACAACGTTATTTATTCCCGCCTGTTTGGAGAGAAATGTGGTTAACCTCTCGTAGCAATCACGTCATCAGAGACTTAGAGCCTTTCATTTGTCTTTCCGCACAATGCTTGGAAGCAGGTCGTCATGGGTCCGGCCCAGCAACATTTGAGACGTCCGGTGCCTGGATGAGCCACATGCAGAATGCTCACGGGCATACATGGGAGTGCAGAGCTCCTTCACATGATCCGATCACTTTCGATGAGGAGATTCACTATCGAGAGCATGCTATCCAGGAGCATGGCGTTCCTGCAGCGCATGTCGGAACCCTCAGCCTCGCAGCACGAAAACCATTACTTGATAGAATACTGGAATGCCCATTTGGCGATGACTTCCAACCCCTGGACAAGGTCGAGCCCAATGCTGTCTTTTCGAGTGAAGCTCTCCAGTCACACGTTGCCGCTCATATTAAAGAGATCGCCTTGATCACGTTGCAAAAGCTCCCTAGCGATAATGAGGAAGACGCCGAGAACATTGATAGTGATCAGCCGTTAGAGGATGACGTGCCGGGGTTTGCGAAATTCCGTGCATCCATGTACAGTGTAATGGATGATGAAGCGCTGGAGTATCGGGATGACGAGGCCGTTGCTGCAGATGGTCGCAAGGACCACGGCGAAGAGGATATTACTGCATCGGTAACAAGACTAGACTTACGGGACAACGAGGGCTCGAGAATGGCAAAGCTTTACCATGCCATACAAGCCGGTGATCTGATTTTGGTTCAGTCACTGATTCACGGAGGTGCAGGTTTGGGAAGCAAGGACGATGACGGGAGAACAGCGTTGCATCACGCCTCCATGGAACAGTCCTGTGGTCGTGATATGATGGCTTTGCTGCTGAATGCGGGCGATAGGGCCACCATAGATCTGGGTGATAACCACGGCCAGACAGCCCTGCATTATGCTGCAGAAAGAGGCCTTATTGATACCATATCTATCCTGGTCGAACACGGCGCCGATATAGGTAGACCTGACAATCATGGATTTTCTCCGTGTCTCTGGGCTGCGGTTGCAGGGCAAACCCAGGCCACAAACGAATTGCTAAACATAGGCGCCGATGCTAACGCGGTTAGCGTGGATGGGAAGTCTGCGCTGCATTGGGCAGCTGGACTTGGCTGGTCTTCAGTTGCTGAGATGCTTCTGGACCACGGTGCCGGCATATCCCAGAAAGCAAATAGGCACAGAGCCCCGTTAGAAACGGCAGCAGCTTCTGGCGATCTTCCCACTGTACAGGTGCTCCTCTTCTCTGGCGGGGATCCTAATCATCAAGATCAGGATGGCTGGTCTGCAATACACTGGGCAGCAGAGGAAGGCCATTTTGAGACTGTGCAGTGCTTGTTGGATCGAGGGGCTGACGTTGATGCTGTCAGCTCTTATGGTACATCACCATTGCACTGTGCGGCAAACGGTGGCTGTTCTAATATTGTACGCTTGCTTCTTTCACGGCGAGCCAATCCACTTAAGTCAACATGTCACGGTTGGACTGCACTGCATCATGCCGCCTACATGGGGCACTCAGACGTTGTCCAGTGCCTCTTGGAAGACGACCGCATAAGATCCAGTGCCTCTCAGCAGGATAACCATGGCTGGTCCATTCTTCACCTAGCCGTTCATAGTCGAGATCTAGCAACTGTTCAGGTCCTACTTGACAGCTTTGTTATCGCAGAGCCTTCAGCCCTGGTCGACGAGAATGGGCTTACTGCAGAAGAATGGCTCGGTCTCGAGCCAACCAGCTACTTGTACAAAGCCACCAGTAACCTAGCCTTTAGCAAGTCACGCTGCTGCAGAGCCGTCACAGGTTTACGACAAGCTGTTCTCACCGGCAGCGTTCCTATGATCAGACTCCTCCTTAGACTCGGTCACGACGTCAACGGCATGAATTCCGGAAGACGGACCGCGCTCTACTACGCGGTGAAGACGAGCATGTTTGCTATGGTGGACCTTCTCCTCGAGATGGGTGCAGATCCCAATATCCTTCCCATGGGACGCAGATCTTGGAAGGAATTTATCGCGGATGACCGGGTGTTGCGACGGCTCAATCGAGCTGTTTGCGCCCGGCCAGATTCTGACTCCAGCGTCCAGCGCCGGATCCAGATTGCACTCCGAGCGCATGGCCAGCCTTCCGCCCCGCGTCGATCAGGCCCGTTACTACCGAACCAGTCGACTGCACCATCACCATCACCACCACCGCCGCCAATGCGAGAAGGATTGCTCTTCTCGGCTTCCGCTCCGTCGGCGTCATCTCCGTTGGACCACCCCATTTCGACGACGCAAACACGCCGGTCGGCACCTCGAGCCCAAGCATCCGACAAGAAACGTAAAGCGAAGTCCGATGGATCGGGTCTGACGCGGTTTTTCAGGCGGCTGTTGGGATAGCGATTCCCGCGCACGGCGACGAAGATGGGAAGCGAGGGCTTGAGATCAAGATGCCTCGTGCCTCTTCGGGCTGATGTCTCAGCCCTGCTGTCAGTCGCCTAGCTTGTGAAGATCGAATGATAACAACTCGTGCTCACATGACTAGGGCTGTGGAGTCTTGTGCTATCACAGCGATACAGACTACTGACATCACTTGCGAGTCTGCCTGTATCAAAGGGTTTGGCTATCCGTCGAAGGGAAAAGCAAGCTGTCGGCACAGGAGGGATAGAGAAAGACTGAAGGAAGGTCCCGTCGCGCAATTCTTCATTTTGGAAGTGATAGGGCCATAATTTGTTGATTTTCATAAGGGCGTGCGCAGGTTCATCGGCATGAATGCTTTACGGAGGAAGTAATTGCGGACTCCTTGCCGTAGCAGCACAGCCACTGAACAACAGATAGCTACTGCATCGCTATCCAATACTGCCTCCTCAGCACAAAGACAGCGAGAGTCTTCTTCGATCCTTCCTGAGAAACTCGATTTCGACCGACGCCGAGAGCCATCGCCAGCCCGCCGGTAACCAGAGGAGCCTTAACCCATCCTCCGACTCAATTCCCCAATTCCGCCAAATTGTCACCCATACTATCATGGATATGACAACAAGAGGGAAATGAACGGTCAATGCCAATGGAGGAAAAAGCTCAAAAGCGAAACCCCTTTTAATATACGGTCCTTAAGATCAAAATAGCCTCATCCACGGAGACGAGAATTGTACTATGATGAGAGTACGCTACAGACTGCGGCCGAGACACCGCTTCGAGACGGACATCCATGTGGAAAGCTCAGAGAAGACCTAATTAGCGTGGAGACTGGGTGAGCGCCACGTGAAGCATCGAATGGTAGAAGAAGTTCCTTGCTAATGTACTGTGCATCCCTCCCAATGTCGAAACACTTCATCAGAACGCTACTTGGACTGCGAACCTCGCCTCGATGCCATAGGCAAGCAGACTCTTCCAGAAAAGCAACCGCGGTAAGGCCATACGCAATATGCAACCATCAACAGGGGCCTAACTGCTCCTTGCAACCTGGCCCTCGCTGTACCTCACCACCCTTTAGGCCGAGAGGGTGCGCAGTGCTTCATATATCAACGATCCGGCTTAATATTTCGTGGACGTCGGGCAGGAATTGCAGACTTCCATTCACCTCCCGTCTCAATTTAGCCGCCTGCAAGATCAAGCCATGTTGCTTTCCGATGATCAGGCACTCCACCAAGGTCTTGCACGCCCGCTTTCGAAGCAACCCTGGTGGTTGTTTGGAAATCAAGGTACTCATCGTCTCTGGTATCGCCTCGCCAATCAGCCACTGGTGAGACATGGCATTCTCCTGGCAGACAATCAAGCATGCCGCAGAGGGTAAATTGAGGAAGCGGTCCCGTCCTGCCCCCTGCGAGCGCTGGGCAAATTGGAAGACACTTGTCAGGAAAAGAAGTAATCTAGTGGAATCGCGGCTTTGGCTGATGCCGGCCAATTCACCGGCGCATGCCTGATTTGCGTCATTGAATAAGTCAACTTCGTGCCCGCCGCCGATGTATCCTTCGTAGAAGTCGGCGATGACCCCGGAGAAGTATTCGATTGGCCGCGGCTCGTCATTCTCGATCATGGCGAAGTGCGATGTCAGAAGTACCACAGTCCGGGCCACATTATCCTCCCGGTTGCCGCTTCGGATCGAGGTATCAAAATCGTTCAGGAAGTCGCGGACGCCGTAGTGTAAAGATTCCTCCGCGCCTCTGTGGCAGGCGATCGCGGCCCAATGCGAGAATGCTCTGGCTGTGATGGCATCGCCTTCTCTCCACCCGTGTCGAACAGCTGCGAGCTTGGCCTCCGAGCCGACGAGGACTGCGATCACAAGCAGGGCTTGCAGATCCCCGGGGGCGACCTCCCGAAACACTTGCGTCGGCAGGTCGGTCATGGCCTGCAGCCCTTTCTGGTTCCTGGAAACCACCAGCTGGACGAAGAATTCACGGTACGCTTCTGCCCATTGGCGCATTTCGTTCATCTTATACCCCCTGGCGACCTCCTGCAGTACAGGCATATTCTCCCAGCGGTCGAAGGCCACAAATTTCAGATAAAGGGTAACCAGGGAAAGAACGATGGGGAATCGGAAGGAAAGGCCGAGGGCTTTCATGACGAGATTGATCTTTCGCGATGCCTGCTTGTACCGGGTGAGGAAGATCTGTTCTCGGAGTCCCAGTAGCTCTTCTACCCTCTCTTCCATCGGGTCAGAAGGACTTCTCAGAGAGGCGACTCCTGCCGGGGTGGGCAGTCCGTCCACGCGCGCGCCGTGCTCAAGCAGCATCTGGATGATCTCCCCTGAGTTCGTTTGAATGGCTCGAATCAGCGGGGTGTCTCCATGCTCAGACTTACTCTCCAGATGGGCACCGTGACCGAGCAGCATGGACACGATGTCCTTGTGCTGTCCATTAACCGCGATATGGAGTGCCGTCAACCGGCCTCGATCTTTGACATTGATGCGAGCACCGTGATCGAGAAGCAGCTGCACCATGTGCCGATGACCCCGGTTTACGGCCCAGCAAAGCGGCGTTCGGCCGTAGTTGTCCTTGCGCGAAACGAGCCGGACATGCTTGCTGATCAACCATCTAGCCCAGGCTACGTTGCCAAGATACGAAGCCAGATGAAGGAGCGTGAACGCGGGCGCGTTTCCGCCGTTCCTCTCCTGCTCCCAATAGAATTTCCACCAGCTGTCTCGGATTGCAGACTTGACTCCAAAAAACGGACGGGAGAACTCAGACGGCCCTTCAACCGTGTCATTGGCGTGATAGAAATGCACCGGCCAGTATTGAGCGGCATAAAGGAAGAGTGGACCGCGGTTGAACCTCTCATCGATCGCTCCGGTGGTGGAGACGTAACTACGCTCGACGTGTGCGAGGCAGGTTCGCATGAGAGTCCCGTGGGTGCTCTGGTCCATGTAGAACATGCTGATCCCCTTGACGTTGACTTGGCTGCTCTGGAAGAATTCTTTCGCTGACTGATGGACCAGGTTCACTACATCTCCTTCGATCTTCACGAGCGGCCCGCAGAGCCTGAGCCGACTCTTGGTCACTGCGGTAGCGGTAAGGGTACCGGATGCCTTGGTGTCTGTGGCCACTGTCAATTCGTCAATTGTGAGGGGCCGGGCAGCGAGAACCACCCATTGAAGAATGGGCACCAGCGCTTCCTTGTCGTCAATTTGCTGGAGCAGCCGTTGATATACTCCGGCCAGGCCTTTAGGGATCTGATGGATGATTTCGTTGATTCTGTCCCAACTCCTGCCCTGAAGCTCATTGGCCACAAAGCCCACCCACAAGAAGGTGCCGTCGGCGCCCGCCAATAATGCCTGCCGAACTTGCGCGACCATACCGTCGGTGAGCTTCTGCTCGGATGCCAGTTCGGTGACTTTGGCAGAGATGTACCTCTTGACATCATCTGCTATCTGCGCATTGGAGTCGTCCAATTTGATGTGCAGATACTGGCCAAGTCTGCTCCCCGAGATCGCTGGGTGGGGCCGGGAGAGCAAAATAAGCTTCAGTCGTGGCCTTCCCACTTTTGGCGTTTTGAACAGATAGTTCCCAACGGCATCGAGAAACTGGCCGAGCAATTCCTTCTCACATTCATCCAAGCCGTCCAGCACACAGACCACCTGGGAAGACCCACTATGTTGAAGCATCGTGAGGAATACACTCCACAGGGCGACAAAGCTGGAAACGGTGTACTTGGTCGTCTCAGTGCCCTCAAAGGAATTCTTGATGTATTGGGCCAGATGGGGTTGAAAATCAATCCACTGGTGTATGAGGCCTCTCAGTATGGTCAAGGCCGTATTCCGATTCTTATCGCGGTTACTACAGAAGTAGTAGAGAAGAACATCGCCGGCAACACCACCACCACCACCACCACGCACCGACTCTAGCACTTCCGTAATATAGATCGCCAACATAGTTTTTCCTTTTCCAGGGCCACCCGAGATCCAAAGCACTGGTTGATTTGGGTTTGACAACCACTCCTGATAGCGGGGATGCTGTAGGAGCCATTTGCACGTGCCGTCGGCTCGGCGCCCTTTCAATACAATCAGCGACTTTCGGTCAACCTCTGGTCTGGTCAAGAGCAAAGCGCTGAGAATAGGCCCAGCCTCGGTGTTGGGTGTCAGAGGTAGTGTCTTGGAAGCCTTGGGTATAAACGAAAGGACTTCTTTTGCGTACGCTGCTGCAGCCACTGCGGCATAGGGGTGCCAGAGCTTCGAGCGATCCGAATCTGCATACTTGCAGATGCCTTGGATAATCAAGTATTGGGCAGCATCTTTTACGCCGGTCGCGCCCGTCTCAGAGCACAGCACGCCTTGCTTGTACGGCAATGTGTCTCTAGTTGCTCCGTGGTGCACCGCATGATGACCGGAGGCGATAAGGCCATAGTGCACTGTAGGTCTCTGTGTCTCCCGAGGCTGCCGCCCCAGGTTGCAATCTCTGCACGCGCTCTCTCCGGAATCAATAGTTGCTTGATCATAATTCGGCTCGAAGACCAAGTCTTGTTCGGGCCCTGGGCGGGAGAAGATGACGGGGTCTTTGCGTACGATGTCGGCGACGTATCGATCTATCTTACTGTCACCGAAGATGGCGGCTGTCTCGGCTTTCCTCGTTGCCGTGAGAAACAGTGATGAAGTCGGCCGTCCTAACGCTCTACCACGAAGAAGTTGATCTTTCATTTGCTCTCCATTCGCAGCATACTGAATGGCACCCGACCGACCGACTGCCGAGTTGCTTACAACAATATCACCAAGACGAATATCCTCGTTCATGTTTGGAGCCGCAGCCGCCGTACCAACCATCAGAATGATCCGAACAGAGGTGAAGACTGCCTGTAACTGCGTGGCAGCGTCCGCTAAGGATGGTTTATCATCATCTTCACCATCATCACACGCGCGGCAATTCGGATATGCCAGTACGACATTATGGCCTTGAAGACTTCCCAGAACATAGTTGTTGTTGTTGTTGTTGTTGTTGTTGTTGTTGTTGTTGGGGTCCAGATTCGGAGGTAGCAAGGTGTCATGAATGCAGTCGAACGTAGCTTTGGCAGCCTCTACCTCGATAGGTAGTGTGCAAACCCACCCGATGGAGTAATCGTCAGGGGAGGCCATACCCAGTCGAAATGCAGATCGACAATGGGAGTAAGTATGAAAGGTTTAATACTAAGCTAAACTTTGCGTTTTTTGAATGTAAGAGACGGAATTACCCTTTCCGCTTGTGCTAGATGTGAGAAAGCAAGCAGATGCAGTGGAGGCATTGCATGTAATGTATGTACACAGTGGATCAATAAGTGGTCAAACGGAGGTCACACCTGGACCTCGAGGGGGGGGGGGGGTGGTCAGGGTAGGTACCAGATAAGATACGATACGATATTGTATAGGATGGTATAGTATAGTACAGTACAGGATGATACAGCCCGTTCGGACCGGGACGACGCGGGTATCCACCCACCCCTGAGCTCAGCTCAGATCGTATGTGGGAGACTCCACCGTACAGGTACAGTACGTGCGTGCGTGATGGTTCGAACGCATGGTCCTACAACTCCATGATACATGTATGTACATGACTAGTGATACTATGAGCTTACCATTTACATGACTGGCGTTGAGGCCAGACCCGGCGGGTAGATTACTATCTTAAATTAGGTGATCTCAACTTCTACGATGAGGCATTTTTGTCATTGGGCGAACATATGCAGCAGAATCACGACAGCTCTTGATTTAGTGCAATGACCATCCCGCTTGAGATGTGGGGCTGCGCAATACAACGTTGTTTGTTGGCTGTCATGCCGCTGGCATCTCGACATCCGAGCGCTTACGGCTCTAGAAGAGCAAATAGGAAATCAATTAGGACGCTTTAGGACTTTTGAACTCGCATCGTTTAGCGGTACAAGCACTGGCAAGACCGTCGGGTTTAGCAGGAAACAAAAATCTAACCCCCCCCCCTCACAACCCACCCACACGATTCTTTACCCCTTTCTTTTAACTTATTCCCTTCCCAATCCCAATCACCATCACCATTATCATTATGATCATTGCCAGACGTAAAAGCAATGGCATATTCTACCCGTCTTCGATTTACATCCCCTCAAATGCAGTGGTCACCTGATGAGCAGGCAACCCTCCGCCGACGGTCTCTAGGGAGTCCATCCAAGGCTGCCACGGCATGCAAAGCTCTTCTTGCGTTCGAGGACTTACCGAGCTGGCATCAAGACAATGAATACATCCTTCATGGCTATCGCCCAATCTCAGGCTCGGCTCGAGTATCATTTGGCAGTTTATCATATATCCACAATGAGTCGGTCAACATCTACTCGCACTTAGTACCAGCGGTCGCCTTTCTGCTCGGCGAGTGGTATATCCAGCAGTATTTGACAAGTAGATACTCCAAGATCACTGCGGCTGATTGCTTCATTTTTGCCTTCTTCCTCTTGACCGCCACTATCTGCCTGGGACTGTCGACGACATACCACACCTTGATGAACCACTCCCACGAAATTGAACAACTATGGCTGCGGCTTGACCTGATAGGCATAGTAGTCTTGACGATCGGCGATTTTGTATCGGGGATATACATGGTCTTCTGGTGCGAGCCTGTGCAGCGTCAAATCTATTGGTCCATGGTGAGTCAATTTCTGCACACCCACTGATCTTTCAAGGTTGATCTCGACGCTTACTTCGATTGCCAGATCGGGGTTCTTGGATTGCTTACCATCTTCATCATGATAAGTCCCAGGTTTCGGGGCCCGGAATATCGCATTTTCCGGGCCCTAACGTTCGTGGCGACGGGCCTCTCCGGCTTCGCACCATTGATACATGGAATCAAGATGTTTGGCATCTCGCAGATGATGATTCAATCTGGAATGCCCTATTATCTATTGGAGGGGGCCTTCCTGCTGATGGGTGCCTTGATCTATGCGGTAAGTCCCAAATCCCGCGCAGAATGGGAATCAAGTTCTAGATGCGATGATCCGTACAGACCAAGTTTCCCGAGAGTCGATTCCCAGGTCGATTCGACATATACGGGTCCTCCCATCAGCTCTTTCATATCTTGGTAGTTTTCGCTGCCGTGACGCAGCTGGTTGGGATACTCAATGCATTTGATTACAATCACCTGCATCGAACGTGCTCATAGGATCCTCCACATGTCACGCACACAAGACCAGCTTCATGTTTCTGGGTTGTTGAGCGTCCTCTGAAAGCCACAGCGGTACTTGAAGCGTGGTGGGGGTTTCGACCTCTGCGTTCCCCCCCCCCGATGGTGACCCATGCTAGACTCGAGACTGGAGGCCAGGTTTGGAACCGAAGACTAGAGCGAATCATAGACCGCCGGGCTAAAAGAAAGGGCGGGCGTGCGAGGTAGGCCAGCCTCATCAAAGAACGAGATGCCATAGTTTCGGATATGGTTGAGGATGAGATCCCTGGCTTATTCTCTGCGGCCCGCAGACTCGATCCCTGTGCAAGGTATGCCACCCGGTTCGCCATAATCTGTTACATGACAGCACGAAGTACACGGATTGCCACAGGACACTTTCCGACGCCCCGAGAGAGAATTGATGCATGGAGATTTCAGAAGATGCTTTGCGTACTGTCAGGACAGAGATAGGTGGCTAGCGGCAGGACGTGCAGGGCACCGTCTGCATTGTTCCTTGTTGAATGCATACTTTAATGGTGCTCTGGGATCTCTCGAGCATTATTATTGCAGGGCACTTGAAGAAACCAAAAGTGCCGTACCAATGCAAGTTGCTGGATCAGAAGGCTATACATACACATCCATATCGCATCAGTCTGCTCTTTCACCACCCAATAAACGCTTCTCAACTCAAAGTTCGGACTTGATCATCGGTGCGGACCCGAAACGATCCCTGGGACTATTATGCAAGAAAGGAGTAGACGTTCAACAATCGCTTTTAGGGCCAGTTAGTAAATCAGTAAGGGAGATCTGGCGCCGAAAGTGAGAATTTGAGCCGTGTAAGATTAGAGAACAACAATGTTAGGTGGGCTTTGGTGACTTACCCCTGCTTTGTACCGTACATTGGCTAATTTCTCTTTGTCCTGTGGAGAGTTGTCGCTTCAGCTCCTGCTCTAGGAGCTCCACCAGCGTCATCAGAAACATGCCTTGGCATACTAAAGAGATGGAGTGAGCCTAGACATTGACGCATCAAGCAGAGTGAACTACGTACTCTCCTCGGCTCGCTCGCTGAACCCAAGGCTTTCCATAAGTTTGGGAGATCAAAGAGGGCCTCACAACATTAGACATGTAGGACACAAGTTCGGGTGCACTTTTCTTTTAGCACGCGGACTGCTTGAACCGCAATGGTTTTTCTGACGTTTGTGTTGGAATATATGAGGAGATTCGGTGACTAGCATGGCGATGATGCATACAAGCGAATGACGTCAGGCGTTTACCTGACCACTAAGACTATCACCGCAATCTACAGGCTCAAAACCCTGCAAGTATAATCTTTATACTTTCTTGCGAAGCACGTAAGGTGCCGAGCCCTACCTACGAGGGACTGGCCATCGAGTGACGCGTGATCCAGCTGCGCTGATTAGTGGTTTTTGAAGGCGTTCTGAAGCTCTGATTGGTCAGCCGGCTAGTATGCCGAAGGCAGATCATATAATCTGTAATACCTCTGAATTCCACTGCTATATACCGCTTTTCTAATGCTTTACTTGCAAGGACTGCCTTACTTGTACAAACCACGTCGCCTACAAGAACCACCACAGCCGTGAGGGCTGCCACGGGTGCGAGGGCTACGAGGGCTACCTTGCTTACACGAACCACCTTGCCCGCGAGGGCTGCCTTGCTAATATCAACAGCCTTACTTATATAGTTCCTTACATAATTCTTTACTTATATGAATTCTTTTTAGTTGACTTTGATATATATATTCAGTTATATAACCCCAATCACATAAGTCTGGCGTGCTGTGAATGCCTTGGCCGAGGCTGATCACAAGTCACCCGAGGGCCAGGACCTCGTCATAATCAATCGATTCTTTTCAAGATGGTCGGAAGTTGCCTCTAGACTGCATGAAGTCTCATCTATACAGGTTGTGTTCTTTGATCCCCAATCTGGCAGTAATGCAAAGGCTGTAAACCCTGAACGAGTACCGCCAGAAGAGCTGCCGCGTAAAGGTTGAGTCCTCAGTAACTCAGATTGTAGCGAGGAAAAGATTTATATCTTGCATGTATGGATCTGATAGACTTTGCATTATGGGTAAAGCAGGGTGACGAAACGTTCTCTTGGAGACAAGAGACGATGTTAAGGATTATTAGTCTAGAAGGGGTCGCGATTCTTCGCGTTGTGATCATTTCATACTGCTCGAACACTCGTTCAGAATATTTGGGCTTACTGTTGGACTATACCATATGATAATAATATCATTTGAGTGTGTTGTGGTATCCCTAGATCGTGGTCCAATGGGAGCTTTTCTTCCGAGAAGTTATGGTAACCTACTACCTGGTAATTAGACGCGAGCGCAACCCAGTAGTTTTGGCTAGTGCAGTTCATTTGATACTAGGTAGTCAAGAGCATAGCTCAATCAGCCGTAGTTCACTTATTGAACACGGCAGACTGGAGCCTAAACAATTGCTGTTGTAATCTAGGGTTCCAAGGACCCCCCGTGCATTTTCGATTTCGTCTATCCTTACATCGCAGCGCCTGGATCTTATTTTCCACAGAGTATCGACATATTACCGCCGACAATGCATTTTCCTAGCACTGGGGAACCCCCTTAATCCATCTCCATCTCCATCTCCATATCCGTATCCTCCCCACCTTTCCCAATCGCGTTCTCGGGATCCGCAGCCCCAATGCCATGGTAATACCCATCCGGGAACGGCACGCCTAGAAGCCAGCACTAGGTATCAGCAATCCAAACAACCCACAGACACACACAAAAAAAAAAGAGTGAAAGGTAAAGCACAGAAAAGCACGCTTCCCAGCACAATTGCTCCGACGGGAAGCACTTACCAAGATAAGGATGCACCAAGAACCCAGGCTTCATCATATCGACCGACCGCTCCTTCTGCCACTCATACAGCACGTCCCAGTTCTTGCACTCGTGGACGTTCTGGAAGTCCGCGGCGGGGTACTTGCTCGTCGGCTCCCAGGTCATGGTGATCATGGAGATGTCGGCGTGGCACATGACGCTTTGCCGGAGGATCTCCAAGCAGTGGTCTGTTTCGTGGGGATGCATTAGGTTCCGAGTGATAGGATAGGCATCCTGTGTGCAGGGGGGAGCTTACCGGTGTGGAGGTCATTCAGACGACGGTCCTCGGCGGAGATGTTGGCGAAGTAGTAGTCTGAGTGGATGTATTGGCGGAGGCGTTTCTAGATTCATGGAATTGGTTTTAATGTCTTTATAACAGAGGGTGGGGACTCACAATGCAGTGCAGCTCGTGAACCACACTCAGCTCGACCCAGTATTTGTCCTCCTCGCCGGGAACAGGGATCGAGGTCTTGTTGATCTTCGATAGCTCGTCGCCGGTCACCCAGATGTTGGAGTCTGTTGGTCGGTCAGAATTTTCACTTAGTGCAATGCTGCTTGTAAAAATGCAGGGGTTATGTACACTGTAGTAGCTCTTTCCAGGCCTGATCGAGTTCAGGGCTGGGGTCGCCTTGGTATGGGCTGATGATTCGGAGCTGGCCCTCTGGACTCTTAGTCAGTACCCATAAATAAGGCGAATGCTATTTAGTGACCGGGGGGTACGAACGGAACTCCATGGCTTCCAATTTCACGGCCTCCTGGGCAGGTGCTACAGCTCAGTCAGATAATGCCAGAGCAGGCAAATGTGAAGAGGTTGTTTGTAAGCCCATACAGTAGACGACATGCTCATTTTGCTTCTCGATCTTGCGAACGTGTCGCACCAGAAGAAAGAATATCGAGCTGTAGAGCAGCAGGAGGGCACAATGGCCTGCAGGCATGATCCATCGTCTCCAGGCTGGCCTTCTCTGGGGAATGGGGGCGTCCTTTCCTAGTAGACCTCCAGTCTCTGAGAAGAGACTATTGGAGTCGGCATTGCTCTCATCGTATTGAGGCAACTTCTCGAATTTGGTATCCATGTTGTCTGCCTGCTTATCAAAGCTCTTTGAGGGGGGGGTGAAGAGGAATGGTGCGGTTGGGCATGCCGTATGGTCGATTGCCGGGTCCATGCAGTATTTATTCAGAAGCATGCCAGTCAAACTCGTTAGGGATGAATGGGATCGGACAACGAGGCTAGATCAGGTAAAATACCGCCAGGGTATGATACCTGAATCCCGACGTAAGGCGGGGTTAGTTCTGCTCGCACGACCACGGCAATGTCCGTGCAGAAAGCACTGACTCTGTGCCGCAAAGCTTATGCGTTTTCCCTGGTATCGCCCTGCGGCTCTGCGTCTCCGAGGCCCCTGCTCGGATTTAAGAGCAGCGCAGAAGAATCTCTCGGCAATTGATCAACACGTAGGAATAGTTGAGGCATATTTGCCATTGGTCTCATCCGTCTTCAGTGTTCTAGTCCCAGGTATAGAATTGCGGAATATTGCTTATGGAGTATACAATCCTGCCTAAACCGTCATATACGCCACTCCACGATCCTTCTGATTCGTGAGCTCGCATAGGATGCGGGGGCTGCTATACTCGAATGCAAGGCTCTTGGAAGCACAATACCGGAGTGAAGATATCTCTCTCCCCGATTCCGATCGATGTGGAGGGATGAGGCATATTTGCCATTGGCCTTCAAGACCTGTCGTGCGAAAGAGCATCTGCACGGGGAGCCGTAGGATGGCACTGGATGTCAGATTCCTCACGATCTTGCTTCTGCAGTGCAGGTGAGCACCAATAGGCAGGGGAGGAGTGCTCCGGCTGGGTTGAAGAAGTGAGATCAGACCAGGTTTTGCTCGCCAGGAAGGTACTAACAAGCGCTAATGCATGCCCTAATTTGGCATGGATAATGAGTGATACCGGCCATATCGGTCATGCCGAGTTACACGGATATTGATACGCTTCTACGACTTGCGTGAATCTATAAGATCCTCAGGCAGGTTCCCCCAAGAAGCAGAACGTATCACTTCCACTCAACCAGACAAGTCCTTTGCATCTATTGACCCCTCGAAGATGAAGTTCTACCTTGTTACCTTGGCCTTTCTGGCTGGAAGGCTTGCTGCGGCTCCGGTTCCCGCAGTGGGTATGTAGAATGCCTCTATCTATAGTTCATGACTGACAATTATCAGATGGTGTGTCTATCCATGAGGCTCGCTCAGCAGATGCCGGCATGATCGCAGCACGGGGTGATGACGCTGATGATGCCTACCACACCATTACTCCCCACAAGCGCGGTGACGATGCGGATGATGCTTACCACAC